AGAGCGCTGTCAAGCCAGTGCTGGAGTCGCTTAGGTAGACCAGCTTCCTGTGGGTGCGTGTTGTGGTAAGCTTATAACGCCAGAGGAGCGTTCCGTAAGTTGCTAGCAGAGTACTATATATTATCAGGGTCTTATCCTTGCTATTGTATCTTATATTCCAGCCGACCTCTGCTAATTCTTAACAACAGAATTCTCTTAACTTCCTATTCAAGGTCTCTGTCGACTTTAACTACAGGAGGTAGAATAGGGATCTAGCTAGGGAGAGGATTATTATCTGCCTTACGTAGCCGGTCTGTGTGTAGCACTAGCAAGATACAATAGGAGGACAGGAGCTCTAGCTTGTAGGAGTGGCCAACCATCTCTAAGATACAAAAGGGGCCTGCGACAGGATAGTCCAGCTTATCTGAGGGCCTATCTGTTCTTCACAGCTTCTTGATGACGAATACAAGGTCTCCCGATTAAAAATTAGGCGAGCGACGTTTCTTATTGGCTTGACGAGCATGCTGAGCTTAAGCTGAGGTCATATTCATTCTAGCCCAGCTTACTACCTTGTTAATACGACGTAAGTGCTTCCTTATCTGCTCTCGAGTAGCTCTTTCTTGCATATTCTGGCGTGAGCCGTCACTCATCTGTGTCCAGTTGAAATCTAGACGGGGTTCTTAGCTGTACTCAATCATGTGAGGTGTCAGTCCTGTGGATTTGTGAACTAGAGCTGACCCTGTAGCATCTAGTGCCGGTAAAAGATAAGCCTAGTTGTCTTAGAAGTGATTTACGAATAGTCAAAGCCTTATATCAATGATCTGGTTAATGATTTCTGTCTAGCCGTCCGTCTGAGGGTGAGCTGATATCAACAACTTGAGCTTAATATGACAGAGGCGAGATAGCTTATCAAGAAAGACACTAATAAACTACGGTCCCCTGTTGCTAGTAATAGTCTTTAGGCATCCTTTAAATCGCTATATATACCTATAAAAGAGGTCAGCTATAGTGTTCGCAGTAGCTATTTTCTTTATTAGTAGGCAAATGTGTCTCTTGCTTAATTAATCTATTACTATAAAGACGGCGTCACATTTATTGCTAACAGTATTAGATATATAGAAATCTATTAAGAGGTCGTTCTATAGTCAAAGAGGGACAAGTAAAGAATGCAGAAGGCCAGGTGTCTTATTATATAGCTTATAAGATCGATAGCATTTATAGTAGTTAGCAACATAATATATTATATTATTACTCTAATAAGGCCACTAATATAGCCTGGCTATTAAAGCACGCGTTTTTGCCTAATCTAAGTATGCTATAATTATTTGCGAGTGAATTTAGCAAAGCAAATATATACGTAAGTTATCCTTGCCTGATCTTATTATAGCTAGCTAATGTGCCTCTATTAGTATTACGGGATATCTCCGTAATGGGGGTAT